CCCTGCACCCAGCTCCTGGCTTTAGATTGGCTCAGCTTTGGCCATTACAGCCATTTGGGGAGTGAACCAGCAGATGGAAGACCTTTCTATCTCCCTCTCACTGTCTGTAACTCTACCTCTCAAATAAATAAAAGAAAAAAAAGTGTTTGTATAGCTCCCATCTAGTTCTACACAAAGAATGCTCTTAGAATCCCTGGGAGCCTCCTCCAGCCCCAGCAGGCGTCAGAATCCCAGCCCTTTTAGCTTTAGCATTGCCACCTGTGCCTGTGCCTCTGAACAAGAGAGCTGAGTTTGCTTTGTTTTTACACTTTTTATGCATGAATTAAAAATATGTAATCTGCGGGGGCTGGCGCTGTGGTGAAGTAGGTTAAAGCTCTGTCCTGAAGTGCCGGCATCCCATATGGGTGCCGGTTCTAGTCCAGGCTGCTCCACTTCTGATCCAGCTCTCTGCTATGGCCTGGGAAAGCAGTAGAAGACGGTCCAAGTCCTTGGGCCCCTGCACCCACTGGAAGAAGCTCCTGGCTCCTGGCTTCGGATCTGTGCAGCTCCAGCCTTGCGGCCATCTGGGGAGTGAACCAGCGGATAGAAGACCTCTCTCTCTGTAACTCTGTCTTTCAAATAAATAAAATAAATCTTTAAAAAATATGTAATTTTTAGTTGACATGTAGTAATTGTCGATTTATAGGGCACAGTGTGACAGTTCAATGCTTAGATCTCATGTGTACTGATCCCCAGGCATGTTTATCACCTCAGACATCTGTCATTTCTTTGCATCACAACTGTTTGACAATCTCTTCTGGCTTATGCATGAATTTTTTTCTTTTTTTAAGATTTATTTTATTTATTCGAAAGTCAGAGAGAGAGAGAGAGAGAGAGATCTTCCATCCATTGGTTAACTCTCCAAATGGTTGCAATGGCTAGAGCTGGGCCAGACTAAAGCCAGGAGCTTCATCTGGGTCTTCCACGTGTGTGCAGGGGCCCAAGCACTTGAACCATTCTCCACTGCTTTCCCAGGCCAATAGCAGGGAGCTGGATCAGAAGTGGAATAGCCGGGACTTAAACCAGCGCTCATGTGGGATGCCAGTATTGCAGGCAGCAGCTTTAGCCACTATGCCACAATGCCGGCCTCTGGATTTTTTTTTCTTAAAAAAATATTTATTTGAAAGATGGAGTGATACAGAGGGACACAGAAGGAGATTTTTCCATCTGCTGATTCATACCCCAAATGGCCAGAACAGCTAGGGTTGGGCCAGGCTGGTGGCAGGGACTCAAGTACTCAAGCCATCACCAGCTGCTTCCCAGGCACTTTAGAAGGGATCTGGGACTCTGACTGGCATTCCTATATAGGATGCCAGCATCCCAAGCTGTGGCTTATGTATGTCCTTTATGTATAGGTTTATTTTATTTTAAGATTTATTTATTTATTTGAAAGTCAAAGTTACACAGAGAGAGAAAGAGAGGCAGAAAGAGAGGTCTTCCATCTACTGGTTCACTCCCCAATTGGCTGCAACAGCTGGAGCTACATGGGTCTGAAGCCAGCAGCCAGGAGCTTCCTCTGGGTCTCCTACTTGGGTACAGGGGCCCAAGGACCTGAGCCATCTTCTGTTGCTTCTCCAGGCCATAGCAGAGAGCTGGACCAGCAGTGGAGCAACCAGGTCTCGAACTGGTGCCCAGACGGGGGCTTTACCCGCTGTGCCACAGCATCCGTCCCTATGCATGGGTTTATAACATGTAAATCTTTGCTGTGATTCACTGTTCAGCTTTATGAATGTGAGAATCTTCCATGTGTGACCATGGTTTGTTCTTTGTCATCATTGTGTAATATTCTGCTACATGGCTAAACCCCCAACTTGTTGATTCATGACACTGTTTGTGGACATGCAGAGCTGTCCCGGCAGTGCTGCCACGGCCCTTCCAGCAGGTGTCCCTGGTGCACATGTGCACCTGCTCCTCTAAGGAGATACCCAGGCTGTGGGGATCCTCTTGGTATCCTCCAGGGAAAGTGTCCTTTGGATTGGCCTGGCTGTGAGCTGGTTGTGGCACAGGGGCTAGGTAGGGAGAGCCGGCAGGTAGCAGATGCCCAGGGCACCTGTGGACCACCGGTCCATGTCGGGTGAGACCTGTGGGTAGCAGGAGGAGCCTGGCCTGACTTGAGTCAGCTCAGCCAGGGATTTGCTGAGTGACCTTGGCAGTTGCTTCACATGTCTCTGGCTCAACCTATGTATCTGCCAAATAGGGTATTGGAGGTTGGCCCTTCAGGGCCGCTCTGGTTACAGACAGCACCTGGCCTTTGGGTTCTGGGAGAGCAGGCTGGAGGTCTGGCAGTGGCGCAGAGGTTGTTCATAAACAGCTGTGGGGGGATCAGGAGGTTGTGTAACTGACAGGTGTGCCAGGGCGGAGAGAGGAGAGTGGGTGAGACCCGGGTGGGAGGGTGTTATCAGAGGTGAATATCCAGCTAGGCGGGGGCATCAGGAGGCTTTCAGGTGGCCAGACAGCTTCATAGAAGCAAGCTGGCCTAGTGTGCAGCTGGTGCCGGTGGAGCCTGGACCTGGGGCTGCCTTCTTGTCTCCCAAGTGAGTGATCAGCGTCAGCCCTTGTGGGGTGCCCATGGGGCTCTGACTGCTCCTGAACTGGCCCCAAGAACTCTCATACATTTCACACCATCCTCATCACTCAGTCTTGAATGGCAGCTGCTATCAACAGCCCCTAATTTTTTTTAAAAAAGATTTTATTTATTTATTTGAGAGTTAGAATTACAGCCAATGAGAGGGAGAGACAGAAAGTTCTTCCATCCGCTGGTTCACTCCCCAAATGGCCACAACGGCCAGAGCTGTGCTAATCTGAAGCCAGGAGCCAGGACCTTTTCTAGGCCTCCCATAAGGGTGCAGAGGCCCAAGGACTTGGGCCTTCTTCTTCTTCTTCTTTTTTTTTTTTTTTAGAAATCTTTTATTT